TCAAGCGCTTTCTTGCCACGCGGCGTGTCCTGGTTGGCCGAGGCTGCTGACCGGGCCGCTGACGTGGCTGTTGACATGGGTGCTGACGTGGCACAACTTTTTTAAATTACGTTTTGACCCCCCGGTTTCTGATTTTCTTTTCAAAAACATCCATAGAATCCAAATTTTCACTCATTTTTCTCAAAATCAATTTCAATTAAATCCAAATAATATTTTTTCTCAATTTTATTATTATTATTATTTTTATTTTTATTAAATTAAATTAAATTAAATCAAATTAAATTAATTAAAAATTAAAAAATTCAAATACAAACAAAAAAAATAAAAAATAAAAAATAAAAAATAATAATAATAATAATAAAATTAAGATTAAAATACTTGGGTGTTACATACCAGACCCTTTTTTATTTTCGAGAATACTCTTGCACCATTTTTATAAGTGAAAAGTTCAATGAGAATCAAGTCAACGGAACCTTGAACCTCCAAATCGGGAAGCATCCTTTTGGTTTTCTAGCAACACTAAGTACATGTGTGTGTGTATATATGTGCATATGCATGCAGATATACATGTACATACACACAAACACTACGCTTTCTCTCTCTCTCTCTGCATATACATATATATATCTACATGCCTGCTCAGTCTCTTGTTCAATTAGCCAACCTCATATACCCAATAAAGAAATCTAGAAAAAGAAGGAAAACGAAAGCACACTGAATCTCAGCCAAGGAAAATGCCCGTGAGACAGAGAACAGTGGGTGAAGAAAATCTGTTGCAGAAACAAGATTTCCAAACTCAAGCTTCACAACTCTCCTACTAAATTTCACAAACCACCACCAGCAAGTTTATTTATTTATATGTATAGTCAAAATATATACATATATACATATACATAAACACAAATCTACATGCGTCACCACCATTTTACCTCTGAATATGGAATGACACTCTCCCCAGACTCTTCCTCTACATTTAATTAACACACGTGTGTAAAAAAAATTAACATACACGTGTCAATCTCCTTAATCGCACCGTTTCATTCCTTCATCATGTATATAAATAATTAAGA